AACCATGGAAGGATGGGGAAAAAAAATAAAAATAAAAAATGGGACCAACCACCCATAATACTTGGCTATGTCAGGTCACAAACAGACTGGGGGAGCTTGGTTTGGAGGTGTCTGTTGTGGTGTCCCGGCATACTTTTTAAAAGGAAAACTCAATGGAGCTCAGAAGCTTAACTACGGGGATTGGGTGTCGCTGGTGGCGGTGGAGGGGAATCGTGTTATTGAATCGAAGGGAGATGTCTGTGTCTGGTGGGTCTGTTGGTTGTACTCAATGGAAGTTTTGGATCAGCCCCCTGACCTAGAGTCTAGAGCAAATGTACAGTAAAGCTAAATGTATTGTTATTGTCGTACTATTGTTGTCACTATTGTTGTAGATTGCTAGAGCCAGAGTTATTGTTGTCATTAATATTATCATTATGAACACGTATCATTGATACTACCACCACTAATATATTAATATATTATTGTTGTGTTTCTTAAAGTCACTATTATATCCCTTAGAACTATACTGATAATACCGAATAATATGCGTCACAGAAAGGATCTCATGTGCCTACTTTGTCTGACTGTGTGAGGCTGTTTTGTATTTTTCTGTTTGTGGGGTTTTTTTCCTTCTGTTTTGTAGATGTGTCACTGATTTTTTACCTTGTATGTGTTACTTTTTTGTTCATTTGCAATAAAAAAACTTTTTTCATCAACTGTACCACATCCGGGTAAAGTCTCCATTACCCCTGGAGCAGCAGGTCCCTGGACAGAGCATTCGCCACTTGGTCTTGATCGCCTCTCTTCCAAACCCGGAAGATGAACTGCCCTTAATGAGGTGAGCTGGCCCTGAGACCATGCAAGGATCTCAAGTTAGTAAAGACGCAAGAGACCTGGTGCCGCCCTGATGATTCAAATGAAAGACCGTTGACGTGTTGTCAGACCGGACAAGCACATGACGACCCATCAGGTTTGGTAAGAAGTGTTGTAGAGATAAGTACACTGCCTTCAACTCCAGGATGTTGATATGTTTTCTAAGGCCTCCCTGGGTGACCAGTGACCACCAATTCCCCTGTTGTTTCACGTTGCCCCTCATCTTATTAGTGATGCATCGGTCATGATCACTTCCCGATGGGAGGACACCACCCCTAGAGACACACCGGCTTTCAGAAATGTTACTTTTTTCCAGGGTTTCAATACAGGGACACAGGCAGGTGAAATGACAATCATGCAATGGCAATGCTGAATCTGAATCTTGCTGAATCTAACCATAAGCTGTTGCTCCACCTCTGAAGAGGCCTGAGGTGAAGCAAGCCCAAGGGGATCACGGATGTGGCAGCAGCTAACATCCCCATTGGTTACAGAAGGACGCCATAAGGAAGTTTTGTCCCCTGACCGAAACGAGTCAGTAACTGACAAATATTGTCTGTTTGTGCGTGAGGAGGTGCGTTATGCCTGACGCAAGTTAAAAGAGGTTGGTCTGAAATAGCGTGGTTGAAATGTGTGGTTTGGGCCTAACGTGAAATAAACGAATCAGAGCATCATCCAACATACCCTTTAAGAGCAGGTGTGCATGTTGCATGGCAGATTGTTATTATTATGGCGAATTCACCAGGCACCCGCAAGGAACGTTCACAGCCGAGGAGACTGACGTTCTTGTCAAGGCAATGAAACAGAGAAGTGACGTTGTATGGGGATGGAAGATTTTTTTTTTCCTGGTTCTTGACAGACTTGTCAGATGTCCTTATATACATATGTGTCTTGCCACTATTGGGCAAACAGGTCTGATCCGCCATTACTACAATTAGCCTGGAAAAATTTGGGTAAATATGTTAACTAGATTTAGGCCTCAATTTTTACATCTTCGTGGATACCACAATGATTTCCGTCATGTGTAAAAATTTTCCTCGTTATAATTTATGATTTGCAAAAATAAAAACTGCTGCATCTGTGTTGATGAGAGAATCAAAGTGTATACATGTTGTGCACCCACTACATAATGGCCAACCATGTGTGCTTAAAATAGCATTATGAACAATGCGCAACTGACTTTAGACTAGGTTTTCTGGAACTGCAAAATACCACTAGGCCGAAACACGCCTCCTTTTTGCACCGACCTGCCCAGGGAGTGCAAGTACATTTCCTAGTTTACTGATGTGCGTCTGTGGAGGGAAAAGCCTGCTTTGCGCAGATGCAAAATAGGAATTATACAGCATGCATTAGTGTACAAAGTCATTTGCGCCGGGTACAAGATAGGGCCCATGATCTTTTATAAACAAAGTTCAGGAGGAGCACGTTCAAACAATCATTGTAATCAACTTGTCATCAAACAATTATCATGTCGACTCCATCAGCATGCGAGGAAGCACATATATACTGTATGTATATATGTATATATATATAGAGTTACAGTAGGTTAGGGTTAGGTCAGTCACTCTGTCCACTCACCAAACATTCCTTGACAGTTTCAGCATCCGTCCTCCACGACCCCGACTCCTCACTCTTGGCTTGTTCTTTCACAGCCAGGAATATGGGGGGAGTACTCTGGGTCCGGGCCGAATACCTAACCCGGAGCCCTCTCCACGGACAGCATGCCAAATATGCATTTATTCTGACTTATTTGTTAGTGCGATCTCATGAAATATATTTTTATGCATACAGTAAATGGGTGCGCACGCATACACACACGCACACACACACACATATATATATATATATATATATATATATACTCACATGTATAAACAAAAACTTTTATGTTAGATCTGATTTATTAACATCAGATTTGGCAGCACTATAAAGTTAAAAAATTAAAAATTAAAGTTTACCAACAGATTTGGTGGCCAATATGTGTTATTATCTGGAATATGTATTATTAATGTTTGACTAACATATCTGCAGTATTTTGTGCAAATTAAAGGTTTCAAAGTTTTCAAAGCGCGTTTGTCTCTTCATTACAGGACAAAATTTTCTGGACCCGTGAATCAGAATCAAGGCTACATGTCACAGGTAAACATCCTGATAAATGTACATATATACACCATAGCTGTCATGGAAATATTCAGATTTTATTGTTTTGTTAATAGGGTTCATAATGGATATCTACACTGAAGAATAATCATCAGCTGTAGAAAGGATGCACTTTTGGGTTCCAGCCCAGTGATTACATGACTAAGGGATCTCTCAGGCAAACCCATGCAGTTCCTCTGGAGAGGGTCAGTGGAGTGTCTGTATCTTCATATACAGTAGCATCTGTGGTTACAGAAATACATTGAGGACATAGGGTTCTTGAAATAATCTGTAAGGGCCTGGTGTCCTTTCATCTTTCAATGAAGCTGTTGAACAGCTGAAGCACAGCTCCCTATGCTGACTCTTGGGATTTGTGTTATGCCCTGTGGGGCCGGGAACATGATGGAATGGGTGCTGAGCAAAGGTGCTGTGACCCATGGAAACATGAACTTAAAATGTCACCACAGTTGGCAATGTCAGTAAATTGTATAACACATAACACCTCCCCCTCTTTCCCACCTCAGTACATGCAAAATTATTTGAATCATCTATGTGTTTTTTCACAATTCATGTTTGGGATAGAGAGCCGGACATGAACAGGTGGCCCCATTGGGCCACAGCCTTGATTTATCCCAGAGGGAGAGATATTGATGTTTTAAGTTGTTTACTCAGTATCTCTTCCAAAACTGTATTCAAAATTGTTGTAAAACTTTCCAATAAAAAATCAATTGTATTTCTATACATCAATGCATTTTTATGAATGACTAAAATATACATAGTCCTATAAATTACTACTAAAACCATGGAAATATGAGCCAACATCTCTTGTTGCAAAGCAGGACAGTGGAATTTGACAAGATGAATACCATCTTCATTTACCATGAGTGAGCAGGTCTGGCAGCAAAGCGACAAATGTTACCAGAAGTGGCACTCGGGGAATTAGGTCTCGAGTCCTCAAGAGAGACATACAGATCCAACAACAGGAATAAATCACTTTTCCAATACCATCTTGTGTCTCCGAAAACACACATAAATTTCACACATAAAAAATGACATGAATCCTAAATAATACTCGATTTTATTTAGTCTGTCTTGTGTGACATTTTGTAATGAAGAAAATTTTTTTTATTTTATTTGTAATGGTAATTACATTCATGTTCAATATCATACAACACATAATCTCATTTAAGTCAGTGATTTTAGCAGCACAAAAGAAGAGGTAACAGTTTTATAATTATTAAATTCATCATATAACATGTACCAACATTAATATACATGTTTCCCTGCTGCATACATTTCAAACCAAAAAATAGTACTATATCACATAGAAATGAAGAGTTCAGATGCAAAAGCCTCTAAGTGCCATTTGAAATTTTCTTCTAAAATGATAATTTTTTACCAGGCTTGTATATTTAAGTTCAGTAATTTCACTTAAATGGCAATGAAGATTACCTATTAATTGTCATTTAAGTGAAATTAATGAACTTAAAAATACAAGCTTGATAAAAAATGTCATTTTAGAAGAAAATTTCAAATGGCATTTAGAGGCTTTTGCATCTGAACTCTTCAAATATCTTATAGCTTTTAACAACATATCTTGAAACTTAAAGCTTTAGCACACTCCACTGAGAATTCAACATATTCCACCTTACTTTCCGTTTCTCACACAGTCTGCCTTGGTCGACAAGAGGCCATCAAGTGCCATTTACATGTTACAAATGATTCACCCGTGTGTTTACAGTGTTTTTTTTGCTAGGAATTTACGCAGTGATTTACTTGAAATCCAAGCCTTTCGACAGCGGTCCCCATCATTCCCTGCATTTAACACTTTTAAAAATAGATTTTAAATTGTTTTTAAATTCTAGCTAAATATATCTGTTGTTATGGCTGAATTGTGACAGACAGACAAATAAATAAATAAATAGATAGATAGATAGATAGATAGATAGATAGATAGATAGATAGATAGATAGATAGATAGAGAGAGAGAGAGAGATAGATAGATAGATAGATAGATAGATAGATAGATAGATAGATAGATAGATAGATAGATAGATAGATAGATAGATAGATAGATAGATAGAGAAAATAACCCAGGCTAACTTACAAACTTCCAGTTACTTCAGTGTGAAATGGGTAGGAACGCAAGTTTTAGCATTAGCGTGGCTCTGCAAGTGTTCTGTGAGCAGGGAATCCTGAGGGAAAGATTTACTGCACTGCCCACATACAAAGATCATGCCTTCCCCATGCTGCTTCTCGTGCCTCTTGAGTGCTGCAAGGTGGCCAAACGACATATCACACCGCTGGCAGCAGTAAGACTGCACAGCTGCGTGAATACGCTGGTGTCGCACCAGTCGGGACGCCATGGCGAATGCAACCCCACATTCTGAGCACTTGTGTGGCCGCACTCCACTGTGAACTGTGAGATGTTCGGCGAGATTTGAGGACTTAGTGAAACCTTTGGAGCAAATAGAGCAGGTGTAGGGACGCACTCCGCTGTGGATTTTCCTGTGCTCTGTCATGCGACTGGCCAGGGCAAACGCCTTCCCGCACTCCGGACAAACAAATGGCCTCTCGCCCAAATGCGTACGCTCGTGGCGGAGAAGAGACAGGGGTTTGTTGAAGGTTTTGCCGCATTTCTTGCAGAGGAACGGCTTGTTGTTGGTGTGCATGTTGCGCTCGTGTTTCCGCAGGTCAGAGGAGCGCACAAAGTCCTTGCCGCATTCCTCGCAGATGTATGGCTTTTCTCCGGTGTGCGTTCGGATGTGTTTGCGGAAGTCAGAGGACCAAATGTAGTTTTTCTCACAAAACGGGCACTGGTAAGGTCTTTCGCCCGTGTGTAGCCGCTTGTGCTGCTGCAGAGTCCCCTGGTGCGAGTAGGCCTTCCCGCACAAGTCACAAACGTGCGGTTTAAGACCGCGGTGAGTATCGATGTGGCTCAACAGGTTGCTGGACTTTTTAAAAGCCCAGTTGCAGTAAGTGCACTTGTGTGGACGGTTTTCCGTGCTTCCCTCCATTCCTCGCTTCTTAAGGGTCGCAAACACTACCTGATTTTTTAAAACCTGCTTCTGTGAAGATTTCAGGTTGTCCGCTACATTTCCCTCCAACTCACATTCGTCCGCCGCAGCTTCGTGCTGATTTCTTGGAACCGTTGCCAGTTCACATGGAGTAGTGATATCCATCTCCTGTTTCACTTTTGCGTTGGTGATGCTGGTCGCTTCCAAGCTCTCATGATTCAGTTGGGAATTATGATCAGATGCAGACTCAGCCTCCACGTCAGCTTCATCCACTCTGCTTTCCTTTCCAGGGGATCTTTTCACATGAAGGTGGCATGAAGCTTCAGTTATTGAATTCTTAGTAATCATCTCTTGGATTCTTGTCTTATTGTTTTTTCTTTCATCACAACAAGTAGAAGTGCTGATATCCTCTTCAGTATGTAGATTAAGACTCATTTTCATGGTGTCAGCAATGTTACTCTCCTTAGGCAGATAATGCCTCTTGCTGATGAGAATCTTTCTAATACTTCGTTTTGATATATAGGCATTATCTTTTAAAGCTGCTGGATTCCACAGGTTATTCATATTTGCCATTGTAGTTTAGTGCATTGACCTTTATTTGCCAACAGAAAAAAATATATATTTTTTGCAATGCCTGCCAAAAATAATTCATAAGTTTAGTATTTATACAGTATAATATCATTAAAAATACAGTTGATCTCAATTATATAAATATGGATGAAATGTAGAGACTAATACTTTAAGCATCAAATAACATTATAAAATAATTGAAATAATTACATAAACTGGCTCTTGTTTGCCTTATTTTAGGCATTTTAATTAACTCTGTATTTGAGAGTAATGATGATATCCAGTATAAATTATATTAACTGGGAGAGCATCCAGTAGATCATCTTGATCTTAGAGTTACGCAGTCCTGAGCCAGCACAGAACAAGACTTTATTCTCAGCTGTCATAGTGCATAGTGTGCACTCCAAAGAAACGTTCAACTATTCTACACATGCAATGAGTCTCTTACCTCGGCAGCAACAAGTCCACCAGTGCGGATTTCAAAGAGAGCAATTACTGCACTTCCTCTTTATGGTGGATTTTAGGCAGACGTTTAGGATACCATAGGAGGAGCCAGAGCACAGTTACACTTACTTCACATGGGGGAGTGCAACATATTCTGGCAGCGGTCAGCACTTTAGCAAAACCATTTGCTGTCGGGAAAGATCAGTTCAGTGACCCTTTCACCCATGACAGACGTGAGTTTTTTTCTTTGTGTTTTGTTTTATAGTCTGTTGCAAAACTATGATGCAACCATTCCTAACCATTTTAAAAGTACAAGCCATTTATGTAACATGTAAAGGCCAAGTATGGTAACCTATACTCTACTAATTTAACTCATCCAAGATAGTGCACATACATAAGGAGCAGCGAGTAGTGAACACACACACACACACACACACACAAAGCAGTGGGCAGCCATTTTTTTGCTGTGGCTTATACTATATCTCTAATAGTAGTAGGCTAAATATGTTTGATGTTCACTTGTACATTTTCACCGTGGCATTATTTATTTCTTTATTTTACATTTTCTAAGTATGTGAGGCTGTTTTAGTGTGTCCATCTTCTACATTCTTTAGTTAATTTAATTAAATGAGAGAATTAGGAACAGGAATAACCTGCTGATCCAAGACATAACTGACAACCTGATACCTGTCTAACAGCATATAGATCAAAAAATTAAGAGTCAGAGGAAATATGAGAGGAAGAGAACGTGCTGTAGAGCAGCTAGTACCAGGCACCTGTTTGCTGCTTAAGGTTCAATTGGTGCAAATAATGCACTGGCAGGGGAATCCTGACAGTGAGGCTTACTCTCTACAGCAGTGTTTCCCAACCCTCACTAGAGGTCATATTTACAAGGGTTATTAACTACAGTTTATGTAGGTGTTAAATAAACAGTTATGAAACTTATAAAAGACTTATAAGAAAAGTCTGTTGGTGCCTCAGTGACTACTTCACTCAGAGAATATCAGCTGTCAATCATGACGTCATATCCCCGTTTCTATAGTATCAAATAACAAGCAAAAACCAAACTTATTTAAAGCCACAATATCTATGTTATATATTTATATTAGATGTGTACTTACATTATCCTGACAGTTTCCACCAACTTTAAAATACGGAGAAATGTATAGTTTAATTCGAAGACACGGGACGTTTCTCTATTTCCGTTTCGTCGCCCGTCTATGGCGTCATATAACCTTTGACTCCTCGATTTTCTCTAACTTCCTTGCGGAACCCGGCGAAACCGCCAAACACAAAGGGGAACACTGGACTACCGCCAATAAAGCAAAGAAAATGACGAAGAAAAAAAAGTTGTACGTATTTTTATGTGTGTAAATCACGTGCCGGCTCACGAGCGCTCACTCTCCCCGGTGCTGCTCGCGCGTCACCAGGTCGTCTCATTCAAATCAGCCAGCTGTTGCTGTTAGCGAGCCGCGCACATTGAATACTCATACGAGTCATGCTGCGTATGTACGTGCCCGCTTCAGCGCGCTCATGCTTACTAAATAAACGCCTCACATCCGGCGCCGCGCACTCACTACATTCCCTTTAGCCTTAGCACATAGTGGATGCATAACGCAAACCCAGTCAAACGTTTGACTGCAGTATCTTATGTGCTTTATAATCCGGTGCGCCCTATATACAGTATGAAAGATATTCTAAATAGGTCATTCATTGAAGGGGCGTAATATAAATATATTCGTCTGTATTATGGACCACGATTACGCTTTGCCTGCACGTTCTGCTGCTACAGCCAGCTCAGTAAAGCTCAAACGTACGGGTGAAAAATATGACCCGAGAAGGGTTTGGGACAGGAGAAGCATGACACAGGTAAACATTGGGGTTGCATTTAAAGCTTCTTGGCAAGCTAAATCTACAGAGAGATGCCGTATATATTTTGTGAAACGATGATGTCATGTCATGAGCTGAGCTGGTTGTCACTGACAGCGACAACAACTCCCGTGAGCCCACGCTCTTTCCCGACGTCATCAAAATACGTCTTTTGTTATTATTTTAAATGAGTGACCCCTGGTGGCCAAAAATCGCATACTGTACGTTTAAAGAGCCAACCATTGAACTAACATCAGCGTGATACAAAAAATGTCACAAACCATCTTTGGAAAAAAAATATTTGAAATGTAATTTTGATTGGTTAGTTTGTCTCAAGGTCATTATGTTAGATGGAGAAGGGGGGATTCATGAGCAATAATACATCCAGCCACCTGGTGGCGATCGAGATGCTTTGGCTTCCCTTTTCAGGACTCCTGTGGCAAGCTTGATTTACTGTAAATCAGGTATGTTTAATACGCTTACGCTGCCTTCACACTGGCAGTTGAAATCAGCTCCGTAATACGCAATACGTTCCCAACGGACGTCGTACTACACAGTGAAAAGCGTCGGACGCGGGTAGAACAAAAATGGCGGAGAGATTAAAGTTTGATTCTGTCAGTTCTGTATGATCTCTCTGATTAGGGTTATGCTGCGTGAGAAAAGTTGCTCAGGACGTTGACATGTCAGGTCGGCTAAAAAATGTGATATAGTGGTCAATAGTTCAATGTCTACCTTCAATTTAATTGTATTAACTGCCCTTATAAACGTTAGAAAGTCATGAAAATAAAAAATGACATCACAAATTATCGTTATAAAATCAATATTTATTTTATTAAAAGTTAATAATTCAGGTTTGTTTATCAGTACCATAGCAACGGTCAACTTCCGCTGGAATTGTCGGATAGGAACCGTCCGTAGCTTTTCGCAAGAGTTCAAATTTTTGAACGCATCCGGATGACCAACGGACACGATTTTCTTCGCACCGCACTCGGTCGGACCCGTTTCGGATCCATTCGCATGCGGTCTGCGAATCTCCATAGGAAATGAATGACTTCCGGTCGTTTCGCAGCCGCATCGGAGCTGATTTCAACTGCCAGTGTGAAGGCGGCGTTACCGGTTTGAGGATAAACCACAATACAATTTGTGATGGTTACTATAACAGTTTAATTTTCTAATCATAATTAAAACCTTATTTGATTATATATTTGAAAAATTCACGGTAAATACTGTCCAGCATTAAAGCCACACTTTGCAACTTTTTAACCTTTATAATATATTACCAAAATCAATTGAGATGGTACATCAACTTACAGTAGGTTGAATGACACGTCTGCAGTAGCCTGGAGGTGTCTGTATGCTTTTACTAGCACTTTGTAGAGCACAAAAAGAACTACAAAATTCGACCGCTTTACGGCATACGGCACACTTCCCCCACCACCCACAACTTCCTCAGATTCTGACTTTAGTGGTCAACTCGTGTTTGATTGCCGTCAGTATGTTTCGTCATGGCCGAACAACAGCTACAAGGAAGAAGGCAATGGTTTTATCAGAGGAAACTAAAAAAGAAAAGGGGAGAGTGACAAATTAAAAGCCAGAATGAGGATTAACATTGGTCCAGCTTTCGTTCCGCTCGCAGGCTTGAGCAGAAGGGTTCTCGACCGATGCGGACGCTTGCCTGCACACAAATGACGTTTCCAAGGTAACCCAGATTCATATAAGCAGTGTAGTATTTTCTGGTATTACGGGCACAGCCGATGGTGTTATGAGTGTAATAAAATGCCCACAGCCAAGTGTTCATTTCTACACACAAACACAGCCCGCCTCAGTGCAGTTAAATGTAGTGAACGTGCCCATGACTCAGTAGTACCCACAAACACTAACGTTACACACCACACGTCCTATGGTTTCTATAAAAATAAACCAACACACATACAGTCAGCTCTGGCCGACGGTGTTTTCAGTACAGTGAATGTGCCCGCTGCCCCGCGCACACATTCACTCACAGACATGATAAGCCCCACGGGACTCGCCCCGCTCATTCTCTCTCAGAAGACTGCTATAAGGGAATCGAGAGCAGCAAGGCTGCCCGGCCCGCCTCAAACACTGCAAGCACACACCATCTAAAGACACGGGAGGCTGACCGGTTGACTGTTTGTTGACTTTAATTTGCGACAGTGCTGCGGAGCTTGTGAAATATTACCCATTGCACCCAGAAATATTACCCATTGCACCCAAATATTACCCATTGCACTCAGAAATATTACCCATTGCACCTTTAAAGCCACACTGTGGAAATTTTGGCCACTAGGGGGCGCTCGACCTGTAACTTTCACGTCTAGCGTCCCTAGAGGCCAAAAGTTCCACAGTGTGGCTTTAAAGGTGCAATGGGTAATATTTCTGAGGATCTATTGACAGAAATGCAATATAAGATACATAACTGATACATTACTATGTGTTCAGTGGTGTATAAAGACCTTACTTAATGAACCGTTATGTTTTCATTACCTTAGAATAAGACATTTATATCTACATAACCACAGACACCCCCTTCTATGAAGGTTGACATATCAATGACATCATGTTTCTACTGTAGCCAACAGCAAACAAACAGTGCTAGAGCGCGTTTTGTTCATACCTTGAAAGAGAAGCCGCAGAAAGCTGGAAGCTAGCCATAGACATCATGAGTAGCGACTTTTCCCTTGTGGTGTAAAATATGTAGTTGGATTGTTTTATGTAACTTAGTTCTTCTCCCTCACTGTGTTATGGCTTTGACAATCAGCTGATTGGTACTATTGACAGAAAAAAACAGTAACGTTACAGGGGTCACCAACCCGTCGATCGCGGTCGTCAAGTCAATCTTGGAAGCATTTTAAGTTGATCGCAAAGAGTTTTCAAAACGAGAGAAAAAAAACATCTCGGTTACCTATGTAACCCTTGTTCCCCGAGTAGGATTCTGTTCCGTCGGATGACAACGAATGGGGTTTTCTCATAGAAATCCTATCAGCTTCAATCAACATAAAACGATCCAATGGAAATGCCATGGATCTGGGATTTTCCATAGCGTAACTCCGCCTCACCTCATGGGTATTTAAGGAGGACGCTGGCAGGCAATCAGACACGTTTCTTCGCTGAGGAGCCAAGACTGATGTCAGGAAGACTAAAGGCAGGAAGACGGAACGTCTCTATTCCCATACTCAGGGAACGAGAGTTACATACGTAACCGAGACGTTCCCTTTCGTTGTCACTCCAAGTTCCGTCGTATGATGATGAATGGGGATACCAGTCTAATATCCCAGCTGTCTTCCAGTGCCCTGCGTAAATCTGAGATCCCTGTCGTACTTAGCTGGCACGGACGAAGGACTCGTTTT